GAAGTGAGAAATAAAAAGAGAAGGAGTAGATAGAAGAAGGGAGAGAAATAAATAAGAAAGAGGGGGGGGGGGGGGGGGGGTTAGGACCTCACAAAAGTAGAGAGTGAGCAGAGGCGTGGGGGGGGGATAGGATGATGGTGAGTACAAGGTGTGTTGTGGGGTGCAACGGTTGGGTATCGGCTTGCATTGCGAAAACGAGGACGAAGAGGTAAGCGACAAGGGAGAGGTGCGGGAGCGGGGGGGCGAAAACAGGTAGGGACGTGGAATGAGCGTTTTTCGTGCAACGAACAAAACATAAAAAAACATTACACGCCAACCAACCGACACACAAGATACACCTGGGGAGAACCGATGTGATACTAGCATAGCGGGCAGGGGGGGGGTCACGATGTCAATGCGGCGCGGGGACCGGAAAATACACCCCCAGTTTTTGTTCATCTCCTGAGGAACTCGAGACGTTATAACACGGACAACATAAGTAGGTGTGTGCCGTTTCTCGTCTTCCTGTGATGTTTCTCTTGGTGTTTTCACTTCGTCGGAACGGTGTGAGCAAGTCCACACGCAACTAACTGCGCGTTCTTGGTCTGTCTCTTCTCCTTTCCGATTGGACATGTTCGACTGTGCAACCCACGTGCTCGCAGTGTATCCTCTCTCTCCGTTCGCCAAGAAGTACACCACCACCGCCAGAAAAACGATTATTCGCCATCATTGGCGACTGGGGCATGTGCGGGACCCCCCCTCCCTCTCTGGCACAACACACCTACGTACCTCTGATGAGACCACGAAGACGAGACTGAAGAACATCTCGGTTCGATCATCTCCACCTCCTCGAAACAGCTGAATCGTTGACACCATACGGCAGGGGCGGACAGGCACAAACAAGGAGGCGGCATATGTTGTACATAGTCAGATGCACAAGATGGCCGCCAAATTGTCTCGTACAGCCTGTCCCCACAAGGGAGACATCGCTGCATGCTGCTCGCGGCATGTTACGCATAGTCAGATGCACAAGATGACCACCAGATTGTCTCGTAGAGCCTGCTCCTCACAAGGGAGACATCGCTGCATGCTACTCGAGGAAATCGAGGAAAACAGGTAAATGTGTCCGCCAACGCTACGGATTCACATTTTTTTCCCGGACTCTTGTCTGCGGATGCAGATGAATTAATTAGTTGTGTGTGTGTGTTTTGTCAAAACTTCGTGTTTCGGTAAGAAAAACAAGATCACGTCAGTCGATGGCGAGTGGTTCGGGCATTGGGACCTAATGGGGAAGGCAAATTAGATTCCCGCGAGAAGCAGAACGAAAAAGAGGAATGCTCGTGACTTCTGCTGCCGATGAACAAATAAAAAAAAAAAATCGTCACCGAAAAAGACGGCTCTGAACCATGATGAACCACTCACGTTGACCGGCCGACTGATGAGGTGGATATCGTCGAACACAATTTCCAGCAGCTCGCCCGACAAGCCACTGCCGCTGAAGGTCGTCTTGAGCAGCTTCGTCAAGATCTTCGGGGGGATTCTATCGAAGTGGCCAAGAGAGCGCCGCGCGGGGTCTCCACGTTTCGCGCGCGTGGGGTGGGGTGGCGGGGGGGGGAGGGGAGGGGTCGTTTGGAGGGCTCCTAGGGGACGAGGGCGCCAAGGCTAACGGGAGGCATTGCTAGCGGTGGTGTTTTCGGGGGGGTGGGGGGTGAAAATCGAGAGTATAATGTTGAAGATCTCGTTAAGTTAAGCCCTTTGGGTCTAGGCTGGACTGTCAGATTTTTATTTTGCGCCAAAAAAAAATGAGAGCGAGAGCGAGCGGGAGGCGGGAGAGAGAGAAGTGCAGAGAAAGACACCAGTGTACTTCTGCACACGCAACAGCTATCTCCACCTGCAGGCCATGAGAGAAGCCGGCGACAGGGTGGTGGCCACAGACAGGGTCGTAGAAGGGTTGATGGGTGGTCGCGCCGCGGTCAGTAGGGCAGGTTAGCTGTGTAGACTTTGAAATGATCAGTCGTCTAGCTGCCTCAACTAGTCTATTTTCGGTATATTGTAAATGATCAGTCCAGAGAGGGCAAAATGATCAGTGAAGAACCATAACTGGTATTTGTACTTCTGTACTTCTCTGTTCTCTGTCCCCCCCCGAAATGTGCCCTGCCAGCTCTCTAGAGCCCCTGTGTTTTTCAAAAAACGAGCACATCCACCAGCACACACCTGTACCTCGTGGTTTCCTAGGTTCGGGCGAGGGTGGTATGTGTGGCGCTACGAGTGTGGATGTGTTGCTGATATGTTTTACTCGTCTACAGCCGTAGTAGTAGTAGTGTTGTTGTAGCGTTCGTTGTAGCTGCTGACACAATGACTGCTGGATCTTGGGAACGATTTTCAAATTGTTGGGAACCACGACATCCTCGATATCTGGGCTTCGGCAGGGATTGCAATACCCCTCCCTTTTGCTGCCCTCTGCTCTTTGCAGCAGTGGCTTCCTACGTTCGGGCGAGTGTATGTGTGGTGCTGCGAAAGAACACATATGTATGTATGTATGTATGTATGTATGTATGCACACACGCGTTCATTGACATGTGCATACGTTGAGAGATTCATGATTTGGCATTGATTGGCCCCATTCCCATTCCCGAGACCTTGATATTACCCGCTGTCACTGAAGTCTCTTCATTGGTCAGCCGGTTAGCGCGGGTGCTAATAATCTAGACACACCTACCTATGGACTTGCCAATACACGGCGCGAAGGGCTGCAGGGCGGCAACTCCACGACTTGCCACTACACCAGCATTTGCAAATGATCAATCAATGATCAGTGAGAACGCCTGAAGACTCAGAAGGGTTAATGGCAGGGGTTCAGCGGCCATGGAGTGATCCAAACTACAGCGATACATGTGCGTGCAGCACCAAGTAAATAGTCAACTGACAGGAATGCCTCAGGACTCGTGTGCCAATAATAGTGCTAATGTGAAACCCTGTATTGTGTACACAAGACAGCAGCACTTTGTGGCACTTTGTGGGTGCAATACCTTGGAGATCTCGTGAGCGCGATCGTGTGGGGCCATATTTCAGCTAGAGTAGGCATTGGTAGGCGCCAGTGTTAGGCATCATCTTACAGCCATGCACAGCTTTCCTTAGATATAATGTCATACCATACTTTCGTAGAGAGTACGGAGTAGTATTGTAGCATGCGGCACGTTCCTCAGCGCCCGGTCACTTTGTGGCACTTTGTGGGTGCAATACCTTGGAGATCTCGTGAGCGCGATCGTGTGGGGCCATATTTCAGCTAGAGTAGGCATTGGTAGGCGCCAGTGTTAGGCATCATCTTACAGCCATGCACAGCTTTCCTGAGATATAATGTCATACCATACTTTCGTAGAGAGTACGGAGTAGTATTGTAGCATGCGGCACGTTCCTCAGCGCCCGGTTATTCCCCTGATGGAGGAAAACTCCAAACTTGGGTGCTATGTACTCCAGCAGCAGTACTGCTGTGCATGTGCGGTGTCACTGTACGCAGGCCATAGCTGCTGCTGGAAGTGGGGCCGACTAGGTTGTTCGGGCGACGTGCTGGCTGTACGGTCCAAGCGATACGTATAGCGGAACGGAGAAGGAGCGTCATCGCGGTCATTCGACTCTCTTGAGATTATGGTTACCTAATGTTCGCTTGCACAAGATACCACACACCCCGTGCCAATCTTAATACTCGACTAAATAATCACCACGAACACGAGGATGCCTACATCAAAATGTAAATTATGGTACCTTCGGAAAGCTCACAAAGACACGGTTCCGACGCCGCTAGTTTCGGCAACCTGGCTGCTTTTGCTGCAGAGGAATCGAGCTTCGAAAATCGTTCCGGGGGGGGTGATATCTTGCGCAATCTAAACGAGAGAGAGCAATGTGTCCACAATCACCTTCGTTGAAGAAAGGGTAGCGGAAGACCTCTTGCGGCTCGTGCCCCACCTCACCGATGATGACCGCGACGCCCACCACGTCATGGTAGTGCACCGGAAGATCGCTCGCGTTCATGAGTTGTTTGCAGTGGCTGTGGCTGCAGCGGCGCCTGCTGCGACTGGCTGCAAAGGTTCTTCCTGGAAAAGTGGCTCTATCCTCGGCGCTGGCTGTGTTGCCCACTCCGGTTATACTGCGTTCTACCACCGCACAAAGGCTGCAGAGCTTTTCTTGCAAGAGGGGAAGGTTGACGATTTTTTTCTCAGTCACACCTCAGCAGCAGCTGCAGCAGCAGCAGCAGCAGCGATCCTCGATCCATGCATGCACTCATGCACTGCTGCTGGGCTGCTACGCTGCGACGCAACATGTGCGGCGGAATTACGGCAGCCCCGCGAAAGGACGTGGGGTACACCCTCTACTGGTTCGGTCCACTTCGGAGGACCCCCGGGGAGACCCCCCCGGCCAACCCTGAACGCAACCAGGCGCCGACAGACGGATCTAACCATCACCTCCACGCGACCTCGCCCAAACGCACCAGGGCCAGCAGTGGAAGGGTTCGGGCGGTGCTCGCCATCCTCTAGGCTAGGCTAGGGAGGATGATGGACGTAACGGTTTCCCCTGAGATCGCTCCGATCAACGCCTTCAGTCGCAGGCCCAGGAAGGTGTGTGTAGGATGGGGGTGGGGCTGGGCACCAAGCGGAGACAAAGGCAGCCTATAGATTGGTCGTGGTGTGCGGGTTACCTTGGGGGGGATCCTCCCGGGGAGCCCAGACGTGTCAACAAAGTGATCGTTGGATTTCGGAGGCACCGCCGTTCAAATCGTATCACCTCTCGTCTCCTCCACGCCACCTCACCGAACGCCGCCTCGCTATCTTTCCGCACACCACCCAAGGCCCCGAAAGCAATGCGCCCGCGGCCGCCGAGTTTAACGAGGTGGACACAGAGGGGGGGGCGGTGCAGCTGCTTAGGTTCCGCTGTTTACCACAGCAGCGGCGCTGTTGTTTCCTCGAACATCATGATGACAGCAGTGGTGTGTGTATCTTGGACATCGCGGGGCGAGCTCCGAACTGACGGTGGCCCCTGGGTGCGGATAACACAGCAGTAGAGGAGGGCTCGACTCCCTCTTGTGCCACACACACACACACACACACACACACACACACACACACCGGACGATGCAACCGAACCTCTGAAATCACAACGACGCGAGACACCCCCGCCAACCTTCGAGCATGGTGGTTCGTGGCGCAAAATCGTACTTGTATTTGTCCACCATCATCATGATCACACCATTAGAGGTGGCACATGCCCGTTTTAAACCCCCCCTGCGCGCGCGCCACGTACAACGGGCAACACGTTCCTCTTGCTGTGCCTCCCAGCGATCCCTCAGCCCGGCACCATCTCATGGGGCTCCCGCCTCGGGGTACGTCTTCGGCACGGGACCGCCGCCCGCCGCCGCTCCGCCTTCGCCGGGGCGGAGCAAGATGACGCGGACCGGCCTCACGACCGTGTCGCCGTGGTCCAGCAACCGGCGGTTTTCGTCGTCATCGTCGCAGGGGGAACCGGTGGCGGCGGGGGAGGCGGTGGGAGGACATCGCGGGACAGCGTTCATGACCCTACAGCAGGAGCAGCAGCCTCCCGCGACCACCGACTACCATCACGCCGACTTTTTCAGACGCGTGTCCTCTTTCTCCTCGGCGAGGGCGGCGCCTGCGGCTTGCTCCAACACCAACGCTAGCCCTCCCCCGGTGGTGGCGGCGGCGGCTTCATTCGCGACCTTTGGGGACACCCACGAGGCTCAGGAAAAGAGGGCGGCGGCGGAGGCGGCTGAAGCGGGCGGGCGCTCCAAGAATATCGATTTTCCCCACGCAGATGAGGTCTCGTCCCCGGGATCGGTGGGGGGTGGTGGTGGCGAGGTGGGGTCACGGGGCTCCAGCGGCGGCGCAGACAGGCCTCGGGAGAGCTGGTTTGGAGGCTACGTCCCGGTCCTGAGCAGCAGCAACAGCAACAACCGAAGCAAGGGTGGCGAACTCGGTGGTATGGAGGTCGATACGGGGGAAAGGTTCGGGTGCTACTCCTCTCGCCGAGCTTCCGCGGCGTTCGGTGTGATGGGCGGCGGCGGTGGCGGCGGGACTAGTGTCGGTTCGGCGTCGACCGACGACGCCGACATCAGAGCGGCGGCGCTGGCCGCGGCTACGCTAGCGGCGGAGTCAAGAACCCTTCCCTCAGCATGGGCTGCCCCTGCTTGCGGTGCTGGCGGAGGGGACGTGATGCCCAAGCTCTCCACCAACGACATGGATGAGGATGACGACACCATGGGCATGGGTGATGACGGGGGCGGGGGCGGGGGCGGGATGGGTCACGGCGCCAGCGGAGGGGAGCCGGTCCCACCGCACGCCCGGACCTTTGGCTGAGAGTTTCCTCCAGGTCAGAACGGATCCGCTCTGCCGCTTACATACGATCCACCCATCTCTGCGGCGGGTGTGCAGGTTAGGCGCACTACTGGTCCGTCAGAGTCGGGTGTCGTTTGGCAAGCAGGTAGGCACGTGAGCGGTGTGTGTGTAGGTTAGGTTAGCGGTCCGTCAGAGTCGGGTGCCCATGTCCCTTGGCAACCGGGTAGGCAAGTGGGCGCATCTCTCGGTGGAAGAGACGTCGTTTCTGCCGCTGGTATTGCTGCCGCTGGTGATGCTGGTGCGACTTGTGGCACGGGGCGTTGCCACCGTTGTCGGTGCTTTGCTGGTGTTGCTGTTGTGGGGGCAGCCTTGTGGGTGGGAGTTGCACAGCAATGAACAAAAAGGAAGCCTTGGTCTCGAGGCCGGGTCTGGACGATCGCGTACACGCTCTGCTGTGTGTGTGTTTGCACCTCACTCACTCACTCTATGAGTTGCACCCAATCACAAAGAAGGTGTTTGATGGTAGGGGGGGAAATGTTGGTGTTCCAAGATGGCTTGCTTGGTGATCCGACTCGACTTGCGACCGAAAGAAAGCGCACGGGAAATACCGGTGTTGAACGTATCAGCCGCCGCTGCTGTGTGTGCATGTTGTATCGGTTGCGGCGCACTAGGAATAAGATACTGTATTCCTCTGCATTAGGCCAATAGGAATAGGGTTAGCAGCTGATTGTACCTTCAACGAAAAAGCTGTGTGTGTGTTTTACAGTAGGCTATTCTTCCTATGTTGAAAAATCGATTTGCCTGTTTTTCTTATTCTTTTCTGGAGAATCGAAAAGTGACTGGTGGTATGAACATGGAATAGGAGCAAGCGCGGTTGAGTTTCACAGGAGTGTACATGGTGGCGGCGTGGCGGGTGTAGAGAACCAGGGTCCCGCCGAGGAAATAGTGGGGTCGAACGAAGCCCTGCAACAATGTGGTATGCTGTAGCGGTGGCACGGCTAGACAGCAGCGGCGGGCAGCCATTGCCTGCTACCGGAGGAGAACCTTTAGACTTAAGTGAGGCGTGTGTCCCACGAGGTGGTGTCGTTGGTGTGTGGTACTGAAGGAGTATATAGCATTTTAGTGTCAATCATGGCGTGGTCATCCTTGAACGCCGGTTGACAGGACGGGGTATTCGTGTAAACTCATGCCATTGTCGGTAGACCATAAACCTCGCATGCCGGGACGGAACCACAAGCCGGGCTTCGCCGGCCCAGGCTACGTTTCATGAACCAGAAGGGGGGGAGAGGGGGGATGGCACTTCGTCGACGATAAGGTCCTCCACAGAGGCGCGTTGCAAAACATGCTTGTTGTACCCTTTTTCGTGCTGTGCCCATTTCTGTGAAGTTGCGTTTTTTTTTCTCGGTTGCCTTTCTTTGGACTTGGTTGTGCTGCAGAGGAGGTTCGGCGGCTGAAACAGGTTAGGATATCAGTTTTGTCCATGTGGAAAAGAACGACGAGAAAAAAACGTCGGTTGAATGTAGAGGAAATTACGCACAGCTTTGTTAGTCAAGGCTTGTAAAGAGGCCCACCCTCGGTGTAAGAAAACACGTTGTTTGGTGAGGTACATTCGCGCGGTTGTAGATGACGTTTCTTTTTCTAGCGAGTGTTTGGGCGTGTACATGTTGCCAATAGCATACTTGGAGAAAAAAACACCCCCCGAAGGATAAGAAAAACGGCTTGATCCCGTTCGTTGGATGGCATTTGAAGGCCAAGTGTGATATTCTCTCCCCTTCGAGCGGACGAGACAAGTTTGTGTATTTTATGGATGCGTGAAGCAGGAAATCGTTTTCCGAACGCACCAAAAATACTGGAAAACAGACTTGTGAAAAACACTTGTTGTTTTCTCTATTGGGGGCGGCAGCTCGCGTTCATCCCGGTTGGTGACTCGCTGGCTCTTGCCCGAACTCGTGTGCTTGCTCGGAGGGTTCCTACTACAGTATATATAGGCGGGCGTGAGTTGATGGGGCGTTTTTTTGTGTGAAGTGATGAGCTGCTGGTTCCAGACACGGCGAGGGTTTGCAGAGCCTGGTCTGAGAAGCAACGAATCGTGACGGAGGGGTACCGTATTCTTCGTTAATTCCCGTACTGGTAGCCCCTGACTTGTTTGACGAAGGATTGACTTTGTTTGTAGCACTGCCGCCCTCAGCGGTCTGTGGTGTTGAGACTGGGTGCTACGCTATCCCAGGCATACCCCATCACACCGGTACTTCCCATACGCGTATCCCCCACAGAGGATGCACAGATCGGACTTATATCCAAGTACCACAAACGGACTTGATCTTTGTATTTAGACCCAAGGTTTCCCGCTCTTGGGTAAAAGCAAAAACAAAATAGTTTCCGGTGTTTTCGTTGTTCGAGTGGTGTAGAATACCATCCTTTGCCATGATTCGCGGCAGATATCTCGAAACGGGGGGGGTGTCGTCATATCTTGCATGTCATTGGGGGCGGGGAGGGTCAAGAGTATTGCGTGCGTGTGATGCGATAGGATTTGGAACTTTTTTACATGTAGCGAGAGTAGAGGAGTACAACTACGACGGCATATGCTGTCACATGCGTGTGTTGTGCCGCGGAAATAAGTTTTCTTGCCAATTGTGCGTTACGTGGGTGTAGGGCGAAACGGCTTTTTCCGGGAACAGCTCCACCTTGATCGTTGGGAGTGCGCGTGCCGCATGATAATCGTACATACGTGCATGCGGTTCGCCTGTTGCGAAGATGCGACTGAGAAAGAGGGCAGAAAATGTCGAGAGAAAACAAAGAGTCCCGGGGCCATTGTGATGCACGCCTCCCCCCTTTGCCCCTGGTCAACTAAACACCGCGACCACAGATAGACCCAGATACCCGGTCAACGGCATGCGGTTTTCCCACAATTCGATAATCTAGGACGCTCCCCCCGCTTCCCTTGGGTATGGTTTTGTAGTCTCTGCATGTAGAACGCCAACAAATATGACAATCGAGCTGATGTTTGTATTAGGAGCACGTGCCCCTCTTTCGTCAAAACTCTCGGTGTCGTCGGCAACAAACTCTCTGCTCGCCGGCAGCGTGGTGGTTTGCGGGTGGGAAAAGCGCGAAACAACGGCCGACAAAGTTAATTCTCACGTCCTTCTTGCTGCTCGAGGCCCCGATGGATACGAAACACGTGGGCCGGGGTCTCGAGTAGGGATGGATGGGGGCCCTTTCTGCGCCCGTGCACGTGGCGAAAAGAGCACAGAGAGCAAATTTGAAAATTCACAAGCAGCTAGCTGTATCACACACGGAGAGGCTGAAAGTTCTCAGTTGTGGAAATGCGCGGTATTCTTCTGGCCGGTGATTTGTGAAGACGCAGCACATGCTGTCTACTTACGGACGAACACGCCGGAGGTGGCTCGAGGGTGGCGATGTGGCGATCCAGCATAACGCCTGGCACCGCATAATTTCAGCAGGCGCGCTACCAAACCAACATGCTCAAAAGACAGTTGCGCAGATATACCCGGGACCCTTTCCTCCCGAAAGGGCTAAAACGGTAACTCTGTAGTCCGACTCGACTCACCTCACAAGACTATCGCGTCGAGAATCTCGATTCTCAAACACGAAACAGCGACAAACTACTTGTGTAAGCACGAACCAAAAAAAGGGGGGAGGTGAAGCCGGGGTTCGCGCGGCCCCAAGCACCTCGGACTTCCTAACCTGATTCCAACTCTCGTTTCTGCCTCTTTGCGCTGGGTAGCCCTCTTTTTCGCGTACGAGCTCAAGCCCCACCTTCGGAAGTCTTTCGGCGCGCGGGGGGGGGGGGGGTTCTCCAGGCAGCTTGAAACGAAGAGCCGAAACCCTTGCTACATGTGTATGTGTATCGTACGCGACGTAACATATTTCATGATTCCCTGGACCGGTTTGCAAAGCGAGACTACAGTACTCCACATCCGAGACAGCAGGGGCGACGGCGCCGAGGGCGTCTTCGAGAGCCTTCTTCTTTCCGAAGACACATACATCGTTTCATTCGTACGTCCTGGAGTAGGGCAGCAGCCCGTGAGACAGTAAGCCAGAGGCGAGACCACCGAAACATTTCACGGAGCCCCGCTTTGGTTGCTTTCGGCGACCGTCCGCCCATGCCTACCAGGCCTGCTGGCGCTCTCGCCGGTTTTTAGTCAAGATGGCAAGTGCTCGTTTCTACGGAGTGCCGTCGGCCCCGACTAGGGTTGGTAGTCGATCCGTTATAAATTGGTCCAGGGGGTGCACTCATAGCGGTGCATGCCGTAGTAACAAGAAACAACAAATGCCGCCTCCGCTGATGGAAACCCGTATCACCAAACGCAAGGATGATGACCAGCTTCTGGTCCATTCTTATGAAACGTCGCCTGGGCCGGCGAAAACCCGACATACCGCTCCGCCCCCGTATTGCAGGGATGCAAGGTCAATGGTATAACGACCACGGCATGCGTGCAAGGTCTACGGTCTAACGGCCACGGCATGCGTTTACAGGAGTACCCACGCTGACAGCGCGCCAGTTCTCATCTTCTTCGACCCTACTGGCCGGTTCGAGCGAGAAAATCGTCTACCATACCACTTCAGGAAAACTACAACATGACAGCCAACAATTACAATCAAACCGCGAACGCCGCACTGCTGTCCCTGAACACGCTTCCAGCGACGCATAAAAAAATTAAATAAAAAGCTATCGTGTCGATCAATCGCTCTTCCGACCTAGCTAGACCTCTTTCTCTCCGTCTTCCGCCCTCAGTTACCGTATGTATTTCTCTCTCTCCCGCCCCCCCACGCTTCCCGACCTACGTCCTCCACGCCGCCATGAAGAGGAAAACAGGCCGCCGCCGCCGCCGCCGCCGCCGCCGCCGCCGCCGCCGTCGCGGCCATTCCTGCTGCTGCTTGGGATGCCTCCCTCCCGCCCACCCACCTCTGCGGGTGAGGGTACCGACCCGTCCACCCACCCATCCACCCACCCTCCACACACACACACACCGAGCGCGTCCTCGAGTGTGTCAACCACGCGCGAAACAGGGGTTCACCCGTCATCTGCTGGACACAAAGGAAGGCAGGGCGGGCGACGAAGGGTTGCATGGCACCAACGGGGAGGGTCTCATTTAGGGTCACGGGAGAGGAGAGGCATACGATTGCCCTGTATCCACGGGAGCCCCAAGCGCCAAACAACGAGTACGATGCCTGTCTTTCTTCGTGGCGCCATTGCGCGCTGCGGGAAGACGGCGGGTCGCGACAGAGGCCAAAAAAGCAACGGTCAACTTGAAAGAAAAAAATCTCCGACTGCTGTTGTTGTTTCATCTCGAACGGGAACAAGTCTTTCAGTGGATTGTGTGTATTCTAAAAAAAAAACATGGGAAAACGTCCAAACGCACACCCACCAACTGCTCCCAAAAAAACAGAATGATCGAATACTCCACAGCAGCAACATTTTTTTTTTTTTGTTCTTCACTTCAAATCAGCGCTCACAGCACTACTAGTGCCGTTTATTCCGACCCGTGGTCACACAGAAGAGTCCCTCTCTACCCTCCCCTCCTGCGGTACTTTGCCTACGATTTTTAATGAGAGAAGAGTTCAGCACTCTCTTCCCTCTGTGTACACACGAACTAGCGCTATCCACTCGGCAACAATGGCAGCGCCGGAAAAAAAGGCAGCGCGCTAAAACCGTCTCGACAAGAGCTTCCCCAAAGCAAATCGTCTGGTAGATGCATGTTCTTCGTCATGGAGAAACGCGTACCACCGAAGAGCGACCTAGGCCTACACACTCCAAGCACCACCAACCTATAGTAATGTGAATGCGTTTTTTGGGTCGGAGAATTTGGATCACGGTAATTCGATTGCAATTAAACATGTACATACGGTTTGGGGTGTTGTTGTTTTTTTGTTTTGGTTGGGTAATTCTTATTTTTCAGTTTTGGGGGCGCAATATATCGGGTTGGAGTACGTGGCACGATGCCGTAAGCGCTGATTTGACGTGTTGCCAAAAACAAAGAAAAGAAATCGACCTTTTCAAAGCGGTCCTGGGGGGTGTCGTATCTTACGTCACCTACGGCATAGACGCGGATCTCACCTACTGCTAGTACTCGGGGGCGCCGCAGACTTGACTTCTCCTTCCTCGGCATCCCCCCCGTCGTCGTCGTCGTCTTCCTTGTCCTCGCCGCCCGCCATGCCCCAATCATCGTCTTCTTCAGCACCACCAGCACCGATAGCGCCACCAGCTCTCGCCTGCTCAGAAAAAAAGCGGCGCGTGTGAAGGAAAGTATCACACGTGCCACCGCCGTGTTAAGGATTAGAAAGGACCGCTGCTGCTGCTGCTGCTGCTGCTGTTGCTGCTATGGGAAAAACTGCCCTGCTTTTCTTTTCAGCCGGGTATCTTCGGATCAGAGTGCTTACCGCATACACGTTGTGCTTGAGAACTGACGCTAAATGTTGTTTCGTTTTTGTACAATCGAGTGTGTCGAATCAGAAAGTGGTGTGGGCAGATCGTGTTTCTTTCGATATCAACTATTGATATCAACACGCTGCCGAACAACAAGACCATAGCAGTGCTGTAGCACTTCACGACCGGTGTGTTGGGGTGTTCACTGCATACTCCAGCAGTCAGCACGGGATGATTTTAAAATGTTGGCGCCCCCCCCTTCAACCCACACACGCCATCCGACAATCTTCCCCCTTGGCACACACGTGTGCACACACGTGTAGAACATCACAAAACAGACTGGGGAATCCATGCACGGGATGTATGGGTTAGACCGAAACCTCGGTTCTGCTCCAGCTCAACGCCCCAGAAATTACTACCCGGCCTGATCGGAAACAAGGGGACACACGTTGCGTTAAAAAACAACAACAACACAGCAGTAGTTCGACATCAGCATACGCTGCGGATGCTATTTATAAGTAGCTTTTCCGCCGCCGTGGTTGGTAGTCTTCATAGTGCCTGGACGGGAAAAAAAAAAAAACTTGTCGGCAGCTCGACACAGAACATGGATGGTAGAGTTTAGCTCTACAAGAGGGAGCTCGCGAACTCGCCTGGGGAACAGAGGCATCCTTCGCCGGTGGTGCTAGTGCCGGCTTCCGGGGCGCCAGTCCGATTGCCGCCGCGGTCGAGCCCGCCCCCTTTTCCGCCTCCCAGCCTTCATCGTCATCCCACCTGCTCGACGACAAAAAAAAAAAATGTGAAAGGCAAAAAATGTTGGGATACGCAGGACAACGATGCGTGGGGTAAGGGTGTGTGCACTCGTGTAAGAGTATGCCGTAGTTGGTAGACCATGAACCTCGCATCCCTACAATGCCGGGGCGGAGCAATATGCCGGGTTTTTCGCCGGTGGAGGCGTGAGTCAGGTGGGGGGGGATAAAATCGAGAAAAAAGTTTTGTTTGGCAACAAAACTGCTGTCATCTACAATGAGAACAACAGGCAGCATTTTAACACCGCGACCAAATACGACTGGCTGCTACACAGCAGCGGTAACGAGCACGCCGCGGCTGTAGCTCAGAATAGACGTGGCAACAAAACTCCAAAAACAGAGGGCACGTACAATAGATCGGAGGAATCACACCAACTGGCAGGGGAAAACACACAAGAGAGCAGCTCTCGAGAGACGAAAGAGTTTGCGGCATTTACTCACAGCGATGATGCCCTTGGCAACACAACAGCTGCCGTCAACAACCAACAGCGCCAACCAGCAACCCCCCCTACCCGGCTCAACACGACCGGCTGCTGCACAGCAGCAGCGACAACGAGCACGCCACCCACGGAACCACCCCCCCCACCCAACCTGTTGGCCGGTTTGGCGTTGAGAGTGGCGAACTTCTCATCGAGCAGCTTCATGGCCCTGGCTCGGCGCCGCTCAGCGATAGGGTCCTTCCTCTGCCGGCGTGGGCAAAAAATCCAAGGAATTTCATGAGGCGGGGCGGGCGAGAGGTGGTATCAGGGTCGCCGTTAGCCTTAGCGCCGTGTAAATACGTGAGATAGCACACCCACCCACAGGGGGTAATGCGCCCCACACACCATTCCACCCCAGGCGGGTGGAACTATTGTTTTTGGGTCTACATGAGCCCAACATACCAAATAAAAGTACGATCAGATCAGCAGAGGACGAAAAACACTCACTTCTGACAAAGCACCTTCGACACGGCTTTTTTTAGCAGGGCATAGCGCACGATAACCCTGCCCCACCCACAACACAGGACCCGAAACGCGATATCACAAGTCAGGGCGCGCTGCTACGGCTGGAGCGCCTCGAGCCAGCCCTCCCTCACCGCCGGAGTCGGAGGGAATAACGCAAGATACCAGCCCCCCTACCACCCCACGATAACCACACGATAACCAAGAAGCCAAAAGCTTATGTTGCACGTCAGGGCGCATTGCTACCGAGGGAGTCGGAGTGCATAGCGCAAGATACCCCCCCCCCCAACACAACTTCGCGCTTGGTGATGTGAGAGCCTGGTCCGGTGAGAACCCGGCGTGCTCCATCCCGGCTTTGTAGGGATGCGAGGTCAACGGTCTAACGACTACGGCATGCACGGCTATGAGTACACCCCCCCCCACACACAACAAAGTCGAAACGCCATGTCACAAGTCAGGGTCCGCTGCTACCGCTGGAGCGCCTCGAGCCAGCCTTACCGCGGGAGTCGGGAGCGTTGCCACGACCAGAGGGTCTACGCCCCCCTGACCATCCACCACCGACACGGGTAGCCTGGCCGCCCTCCCCTTGAAGCATCCCAGCAGCAGGAAGACCCCATAGGTGAAGTCGCACATCGGCTTAACAACCCTGATATTCGTTTGAGTTTATGTATATCACGTGTTGTTATTCGGCGGCATCAACCATGTTTGACCGGCTCACCAACGGAAAGACATTGGTGCCAGCGGGAAAAAACCAAGGTCCCCTGTATGTGCATGTGTGCCTCTTTGATTAGCATCGACCGCGCTAGCACGCGTGTGTGTTTATCCTTTTTTGATGTTTTCAAGAAAAAAGAGGCCAAAGGGGAAGGGGGAACGCCGAGTGCGCGGCGAGAGATGCTCCCATTTTCCCATGTCCCTTCTAGCTGTCAAATCACCGCTCCTCCATGCTCAAGCTCTTTCAACACGGGCCAGAACAGAGATGGGGGGGGGGGTGCGGGAGGGGGTACCGCAACTCAGCACCACCCACCCAATCAAGATGGCCCCTCTTAACACCATCTCAAAGGTGTTACACCGGGTTGGTACACGTGGGGTTTTCCATAGACCAGGATGGCCAACCATCTTGCACCCGCGGCGATTCACTACTCCAAGCAACGCGACGACGTTCAAGTTTGTTGGGTTCAGTGAGTCCTTCGGACACAGCCGACGGTAGGGCGACCTGTTGCAGCGTTGTGCGCCCCGGCGTAAACTCCACACAGGCGTGCAAAACCTCTTCGAGCGGAGGGACCTTGACACTATTTGCGTAAATCTCTGATTTGCCGAAATCGTTACTGCTGGGTTTTAGCCTTCGCAGTTTTTTACTATTCAGCAAACATGTTGGATAAAGCATACAATCGGGGAAGTTGGGTTAGGGTTACGGTTAGTGAATACGGTCTGCGTCCCCCCTCCCAGTTCTATTTCCTTATGTTACTTTAGTTCCCGCGAAGGCAGTCCGGGTTTTACCTCCTGACAACGAAAAAGCCGCTCGTGTTACCTTTTGCAGAAAAAAAAAGAAGACAAGAAAGACTACTGTACCTGTTCGGGATAAAACACCACAGTCAAACGGGATTCTCTAGTAGAGAGGAGACACATCTCCCGCCTCACCTGCGACACGGCAAGGGGAAGAAGTTGACCAGCTGGAAATCCTCCGTCACATCGCCTGACGGGGCCCCCAGGACACTACATTCACCAAGCGCCGAGGAGGGGGGGGGGGGGGGGGGGGGGAGTTTTGGCATCGCTTTGCGACCAAGGGAATGGACCCCAAAAGGGGGACCCACCTTTTGGGGGGGGGGGGGGGGGGGGACCCAAAAATTGGGTTTCCCCCCCCCCGGGGGCGGTGAAAAAACAACCCCCTTCCAAAAAATGGAAATAACCCTCGCTTCCGCCCGCCCCTTCTGGGGAATGCGTTTTAAAAAACCCCCGCGCCCAAGGGGGGCTTATAGTGGGGGGGGGAAAAATTTGGGGCCGTAACTCCCCGCCCAAACAAAAAAAAAGAATGGTTAACACCAGTAAACCCCGCGTTGGGGGGGGCGCCCCATGCCAAAAAAAAAGCCCCCTTGCCTTTTGGCAATGCCGAGTGGTCGGAAGCCCCC